CCTTGGGTCGCTATGGAAACAGTCTCCTTGTAATTTACAAAGGTAAGGTCTGCGTACAACTGACCCCCCAGACCCCAACCTGTTTGGGAATATACTGGGTATGTTGATTGATGTTGTTGATGTTGAAATTCATCACTATATGTTAATTTTTAAATGACGAACATTTAATTCATCATATAAGATATATTTTTTGATGTCATATATGCAATTTTTGACGCGATATCAGTGATGAACGACTCGACAATAAAATTGAATTGTTATGATGAACATTTTTTCATAAAATATTCGAAAATGTCTAACGGAGATCAACACGAAAATATTTAAGTGGAACTAATTTTTTTTTAAAAACTAAAAAAAAAAAATCTAGTTGGAATTCTATAATTTCTATATACATTTTATTGATTTATTGATATATAATTTTTATTACAATATACAATTTGCAGAGAATATATTTCAATTGTTGGAAAAATTGACACGGGACTGACTGTCAAAATCGAACATAAATCATACAACTTTCAATACAAAATCATATTATTAATATTAAATATATTTCTTAGCATGGGCCATGTACTATCTAATATAACCTAACATCTTTCCTTTAATCTTAATATTGATTCACAGAGTGCATCTGACGAGTATGTGCTAGTGAAGCATAAGCTGGAAAAATAAAAAGTAATTATAGTTATATTATAAAATTTTGAATTACCAAGAAAAAGTATTATTATCCATAACAACCAACTCGACTAACCTCGGACCCCAAATATATAGTATTATACATGAGTGATGTTGTAATCTTACCTTCGGCGTAATCGGGGGCTCCAAAACAGCAGAGCTAGCAACTAAGGCATAGGCCCCAGCTTCAATTACCCTTCGACATTATTATCAAACTTTAAGACCAGCCCAATTGCTAGTTTTGCATATCGTGTGATTGTATCACGTTATGTGTACTCTTCTTCACAGACATGTACGATTAAACTAAAATTGTTTTAGATTTCAACATTACCTATCACTAGAGCATGTCAAAACCCATCCATAAATATAACATGTAGCAAAAAATTTAAGCACATTACACAATTTCCATTTTCAATTAAGAGGTGCAATGTCATGGCGCGCAAAATATGCAATATACAGGAGAAGCATGGTTAAAATTTTGCACTCGTAGCTTTTCAACTAAACCCCTTCACTGACACAAATGATCTGTAAGATAGAGCCTCTACATTTAAATGTCCACAGCAAATAATGTCTTGTCTTAAATATGAACTGCAAATGTAATGTATAAGCTCATGAAACCACTTTTGTTGATGATCCTCTTATTACGAATTGTCTATTGACATGTATGAATAAGAAAGAACAAAAAGTTAACCAGGGGACTGTGGTACAAAGAACAATACCTGTAAGTTTTAACTCGATTGCAAAAGCTGCCTTCATGCAAAAAACCTCCTGGGATACAGTTACTAAAATGTTTACACATAGAGTTCATGCAAAATTAAATTGTTGAATATAAATGAGACGCACCAATGGGAAAACAAGAAATTACATATAAAGGTACCTCATGCTCAACACCAACATCAGCAGCTTCAGCACACTAAGGATGTGAAAGTAAGACAGCTTTAGCCAGTGACGGATCTAGAAATTTTACTTAGGGGGGCCTGACTTTTAATGTTAAATAACGAGCTTGTAATTTAAGTCGACACGCCATTTTCATAAAAAAATGTATTTATTATAAACTAGTACAGCACCCGTCAAGTTTTTAAACTAGTACAGAATTTGTATCACCCTAAAACTTTTAAAAAAAAATACCAAAAAAAAAAGAGAGAGAGATTTCATGTATTTATAATTTAAGTTCAACAACTATAATTTATGGAAAATTAAGTTTTTTGGTTGAAAATTTGATTAATTTGAAATTTTGCAGCATGTTGCATAATATATTTGTTAATGAGAGCTTATCAAAAGAATATTTTGTAGGAAAAAAATAAATAAAGTTAAAAATATGTGATTACGCACAAAAGAAAAAAAGTAGAAAATCAAGATTCAAGAACGTAACAATTCAACTAAATATATAATCAGTTTTATAAATTACATAATTTATTTACAATTAAGAGATCGAAAGAATAATCATTCTAAATATTTTCAAAAACTTATTTAAAAATGTAAAATATAATGATTGTTAGTACAATTTTTAATAGATAAGTAATATTATTAATTTAAATTAAAATAACATAGAAAATAAGTTTTAATTATTAATATATTGTAAATATTTTTTGCATTTCTATACATAATTACATATTTTATAGAATTATCTATATATATATATATAACTTATTTTCTTTATACATATAAGCTTATTTTATAAAACTTATATATATATATATATATATAAAACTTTTAAAAAAATCAGGGGTGGGCCTCATCTCCCTCCGAGCGCAGTGAAGCCATAAATAAAAGCGGCTTAGAATGAAAGAGGAGTAGTCCCGAGAAGACGGTCTCCCTATAAGGAAGTGTAGCGAACTCCTGGCTTTAGCGGATAGGGAAGAGTGTTTATCACGTGAAGCTACAGTGGTAATCTTGAGCTATTATCATATGAGCATAAATACCACCCGTATGAACCTCTAAACAAACATGTGACTCCATAATATATCTGCAGTGGTGAGTTTGATTGTGGTAATCAACTTACCAGCATATGTGTTAGAAAGAAAATGGAGAGAGTGCAATGGATGGTGGTGATTATTAAGCTACTATTTGATTTATTAGAGCCACTATAGCCCAGTGAGTGGATCTATCTATAAGACAATCAACATCATATGCTTGCCTAAAATATAATTTATACGTAAATAAAACAAAAAAAA